AGCAGCGCGTCGAGCTACCCATAATAGGGCCTTTCACAGAAGATGCACCTGTCATCTCTTTCTCTGTCTGGGCTGCAGAGAGCTCACCTCCTAGGTCCTGGCACATCTTGCCCTCATCCTGCCTCAGTTTCTCCCCTGCAATATCCTCTGCTTGCCCCAGTAATTTCTTCCTTTGTCAACTCCACATTTTGACTCTTCTCACCTTCACCACTACCAGCAGCCACCAGAGAACTGGTCACACAAATGAAAACCCATGCTCTCGTTACACGTTTGTGTCTCCTTCCCTTACCTGCTCAGGCTTCAGCCTTCCCAGGACACCAACTTGTGGACACTCCGCACCAACAGGAGCACAGTCACTCAGGAGAGGGGCAAGGTCTGGCCTTAAAAGCAGCTCCCAGCCCAATGAGGGTGTGGGTGGGGCCCAGATGAGGTAGGTGAGGGGGATTAGAGCCTGCTGGCACCCACAGAGCCCTAACGAGGGCTGAGGGGGCACCTGCCCAGAGTGCCCTGTGCTGTCCCTGGGGCTGCTGATGGGTACCCCTGGAGAGCTCCCCACTCCCTCAGCTGCTTCCAGAGCCAGTCAAGTGTTTGGATCTTAATGTCACCAGCCAACATCAGGAAGCAATTGCCTTTGTTAATTTGCTAACTAGATCTTCTTTTGCAGAGCAGACATTAAGCTTGGCCCTGCTGGCACCATCAGTTTTGCTCTGCAATTTCCATCTGTTTCTAGCAGAGAGGAAGTCAATGCTAACCTGCTCTGTCCCTCCCAGGGCTGGTGCCCACCCTGTCCTTTTAGATCAAGCTCAGGAAAGGTGCCTGTGTGATCACGTTATCTGCAGGTCTCTCTGCGATCCCTGCCCTGTAACTTCTGAGTCCAGCAGCCAATTTTGACTGTGCTCAACAGGCACGTAGAGGTTTCTCAGGCATTAAATACCTACAAGTCTAACCAAAACAGGTGGCTGAGCAGAGGAGTAGGGAAAAGGCAGCAATATGAGCTGAACTGTGTTAGACACCGGAGAATCCATCCGTACAGAGGATGGTTGTAGGAACCAGCAGGTCATACTGGTTTAGCTGCTTTTAAAAGCTTCTATCTGCCATCTTTTTGGCTTTCTCAAGTCAGCCTTACCTCCAAAGAAATAATCCAGATTTCCATCTGAGGGTGCTGGTAGCTTTCCCAGGGTGGATCACAGTGAACAATAGCTTGGCCGTTGCAGTGGCTGCTCTGGAGCCGGGGAAGTGCTAGCAACCAGTGGTGGTGATTTGATGTGTTAGATATATTTAATAAGCGTTGCCAAAAAAAGCCATGAGCCTGTCCAGATATTGCTCTGAATCATTTCCAGCAACTCAGAGACGCCTGTTTAAAAATGCAAAGCTGCTGCTTTGTCTGGATGTGGGCCCTTTGTCTGCTCAAGGTCACTTGGAAGCAGAGGATTCCTGCTCCCCCGCGCAACAGAGCAGTACGAGAGGGAAGGTCCCTGCTCCCCACCCAGCAAAGGCACGAGACCCTTTTTCCCACTGCAGCTAATCACTGCGGTACGTTACTGCCTGGTTTGTGCCCAGGTGCTTTGACTGGTGCGTAAACTCAGTCACTGGATGGACTGAGGCATCCGACCTTCTCCCTGCTGATCTTCAGGGTGATGGGAGAGCACAGGGCAGAGCAGGAGGGGCTGAATAGAGAATTCAGGGACTGGGAGTTATCTTTGGCACTTTATGCTCACAGTTCAAGACTATGAAAATAAGCAGCTGGAGGAGGTGAGGCATGGTACAGCTAATTCTGAGAAAGCGATGTCTGGCCCCTGAGTGCTGGTGTTACTCCTGCTGCTGCCGGGTGGTCCGATGGGCAGCGATAGCTCATTTTGCTCCTTCGCGCTGGGAGCCTGGGTTTGTATTGCTGTAGCTCATCTTTTTCCTAGATAGAAATACTCTGTGCTTCAAGCAATGCTGGTTGTGGAAGGGCCTTTCTGGCAGGGAGAGGGAAGAGAAACCAAAGTTTCATGGGGCTGCTGCTGCTGAGCCAATAAACCATGGGGGATACAGAGAAGCCGTGCTCTTTGGTTATCTGAGGAGCTGAACGTATCCCCAGGACTAGATACAGTTTGTTCTATCTTGCTTTTTCTGTTTTATAGGCAAAAACGAAAAAGACTCAAGACAAGGGAGAGCGGGCCCATTTCCTCAGTGAGATTAAAGCGCTGAGAAAGGAGCTGAAGGAACGAGAAGAAACTGCCATGGCTGCAGCCCTTACCCGTGCCAGCGTTGTCCTTGCTACAAATACAGGTGCAAGATCCTCTCTTCCTTTGTGGTGTTTTATCTCCCTTGCCAGGACTCCCATAAACCACGTGCCCTGCAACACAGCCCCCTGCCAGGGAAGGAGGGAGACTTGGTCTTCCTGCTCCACACCCCTGGGAGCTCAGTCAAGCGTGCTGCGAGCTCTCAAGCTCTCCACAACAGGGTTCTCCCTGCTCACACTCTGGCACATGATGTTATTTACCAAAGACTGTGGGTCTGGAAGAGCCGTTGGTGTGAGGCAGCTTGGCCCAGCTTTGTGAGTCCTGAGTAGGAGCTGAGCTTTCCGTGAGTAAACAAGTGCTCTGGTAGGTGTGCAATCTGCTTATTGATTTCCTAAGTCACATGGAATTGCTCTCCCGCTTGGATAATTTCCACGACTGAGTGAATACAGCGCATGTTGCCGTAGCCTGGTCTCAGCCTGCCTGTATTTGGTTGGCTCTGGAAGGCATCCGAGCGGTGTAAGTGCCGTGGGTTCAGGGAGCAGCCCAGGGACTCCTCAGGCAGCACATGGAGGCACATCCGCACCTACCAGTAGGGAAGCAATACCCTTGCAATCGAAGGGGAATGTAAGTCCTTAAAGTTTAACATGTGCCAACGTGCTTTTCTAGATCAAATGTGTCATACTCTGGGGCCCACTTAGAATCTTCAGATTTGGTTGCTCAGGGATTATTATTTGCTGAAGGGAAACATCAATACTTCTAGGTCATAAAAAAGAACCTCATGGAGCATTCAGAAGTTACTGGTGTGAAGGTTAAAAGAAAGGTAAATCCTGCCAGTGCGTTGAAGGAAAGGTAGTTCCTTCCAGTACATTATTTGCTGGGAATTGGCCTCTCAATCCCTTTAACTTTGCCTGAAAAAACAGAGAGAAGTTTCCTCTTTTTCAGTAGAACTTCATTCTGAGCGCTCAGCTGATCAGATGTGATTTTCTCCAGGTCTCTGGGGCTTGTTGGCCAGCGTGGAGGTCTGTGTGGTTCTGCTTCAGCAGACGGTGGTGGGCAAACAATGGGGTTTGGGTTTTGTCTTTTCCTCGCTTAGGCAGTCCTGCTATTTGTCTAAAACCACATAGTCTGATGGCAATTAGTATTTATGCGAGCCAAAGTGCTCTGTTTCAGCAGAGAGAGAATTTAATCATGGCAACACACAGGGACACCAGTGACCTTTAGCTAATGGGAGCTCAATAAACTCAAGTCCAGCTGCAGGGCTGTAAGGGAAGAAAACCATCCGCACAGCTGCGCGGTGTGCTGGCACAGTCTTTTTTAGATAGAGAGAACTTTGCTACTTATTTCTTTTCTTCCCGCCTTCAGCATGGCAAACTTGCAAAAGTCAGGCTCGAACTGCATGCCCCTCGTTACCAGAGTGGATTTATACAGGCTGGAAAAAATATTTTAAAGGAAATCACAGTGTCTCAGTTGACAAACTGCAATATTTAAACTGATGCGAAGCTGTCGAGGCAGCAGGATTTACAGTGGCAAAGCAAACTCGTCCCTAGTCAGAGCTGCTTCCAGAGCTACACCACAGCAGCACAGGAGCTTTTGAAAAAACATTTCTGTGAACACTGAATAAAAATCTCCTTGTCTGGCATGCTGGCTTCCGAATCCTCCTCTCTTCCCTTTTCATGCCTTTTCCTTAAGGACTGCAGGGGTAGTTTTGATGCCTCTGAAATCAATACTTCTGATCAAGGCGTGGATCAATATCAGTTCGTGTCTGGATTACAGCGAGACATGCGTAAGGGTTATTCGTTTGACATTACAAAGGGATGTCTGATCTAAAAAAATAGCCCTTGCCGTGGTTGTCTGGTTACAGTCTCACGTGCTTTCCGTTCTGCTGCTGCCACGAGGATGGAGGGAGCAGCACGGCCAGGGAAGGCAGAGGAGTCAGGGTCTCAACTAATTTTTCCCCCTTGAGGTGTCCCTCGGGGTGTCAGGCAAGGCAAAGCTCAAGTCCGGCATCCTTTCGGCTTTGTTGGTGAGGAGTTTTGTTTGCCTTTGAGGGCAGACGGAAGGTGGGCGTTCGTTAGTGCTTTTGCTCTGCTCCTGCTCTGGGTGAAGTATTCGAGCATATTGTTCTGTTTGGCATCTGGGCTTCGCTGTTGGTTTCAAAGATACTTGGAAGCTTTCGGGCCCAAATGCTGGGGCGAAAAAAGGACAAACAGAAACTGGCAAAACCCATACTGACACGTGTACGTACTAGGCACGGACTACAGAGCTCAGTTTCTAAATCTCCGCAAAGAAACACAATTTTACCTGCCTCCCTCAATCACAATTAAAGCATGTGTAGTTCATTTTAAAAACAGATTGCTTGCTCTTCTGTGCTTCCCTGCTAAGCTCTGCACCTTCTTCTTTCATTAGGTGCTTCCTCAGATGGTCCACTGAAGCTGCTGCCTGAAAATCATTTTGATCTGGTGGTAATAGATGAGTGTGCTCAGGCCCTGGAAGCCAGTTGCTGGATACCTCTGCTGAAGGCTCCAAAATGCGTCCTGGCTGGGG